CAAGGAAAGGCAAGTAAGAAGGCAAGGCAAATCGACACACAAGTCAAGGCAAGGCACAAGCCAAGGAAAGGCAAGTAAGAAGGCAAGGCAAATCGGCACGCAAGTCAAGGCAAGGCAATGCTAGGCACAAGGCAAGGCAAGGCAAGGCACAAGGCAAAGCAAGGCAAGGCATAAGGCAAGGCAAGGCACAAGGAAAGGCAAGGCAAGGCAAGGCACAAAGCAAGGCAAGTGAAGGCAAAAGGTAAGGCCCAAAGCAAGGCAAGGCAAGGCAAGGCACAAGGGAATGGCAAGGCAAAGCAAAAAGCAAGGCAAGGCAAGGCAGGAAGCAAGGCACAGCAAGGCAAGGCCCTAGTCATGGCAAGCCAAAATAAGGAAGAAGGCAAGGCAAAGCACAGAACAATGCAAGCCACAAAGCAAGGGAGAACACAAGGCATAAGGCAAGGGAGGGTGCAAGGCAAGGCACAAGGCAAGGCAAGGCACAGCAAGGCAAGGCCCTAGTCATGGCAAGCTAAAGCAAGGCAGGAGGCAAGGCAAGGTAAGGCACAGAACAACGCAAGGCACAAGGCAAGGGAGGGTGCAAGGCAAGGCACAAGGCAAGGCACGGCATAAGCAAGGCAAGGCAAGGCACAAGGCAAGGAAAGTACAAGGCAAAGCAAAGCAAGGCAAGGCACAAGGCAAGGCAAGGCAAGGCAAATCAAGGCCCAAGGCAAGGAAAGGGAAGGCACAAGGCAAGCAAAAGGCAAGCAATGGGAAGGCAAGGCACAAGGCAAGCCAAGGCACCAGGCAAGCCAAGGCAAGGCACAAAGCTAGGCAAGTCAAGGCAAGGCACAAGGCAAGGCCCTAGTCAAGGCAAGGCAAAGCAAGGCACGAGGCAAGGCAAGGTAAGACACAGAACAACACAAGGCACAAGGCACAAGGCAAGACAAGGCAAGTCCAGGCACAAGACAAGGCAAGCCAAGGCACAAGCAAGGCAAGGCAAGGCACAAGGCAAGGCAAGGCATAAGGCACAAGGCAAGGCAAGGCATAAGGCACAAGGCAAGGCAAGGCAGAAAGCAAGGTAAGCAGAAAGCAAGGCAAGGCAAGGTCCTAGTCAAGGCAAGGCAAGGCAAGCAAGGCACGAGAGAAGGTAAGGTAAGGCACAGAACAACACAAGGCACGAGGCAAGGCAAGTCAAGGCACAAGGGAAAGCAAGTCAAGGCACAAGGGAAGGCAAGCCAAGGCACAAGGCAAGGCATGGAAAGTCAAGGCATGGCATGGCAAGGCAAGGCACAACGCAAAGCAATTTATAAGGCAAGGCAAGGCACAAGCCCAGGCAAGGCAGGGCACAAGCCAAGGCAAATCAGGCACAAGGCAAGGCAAGGGAAGGCACAAGGCAAAACAAGGCAAGGCAAGGCAAGCCAAGGCACAAGCAAGTCACAAGGGAGGCAAAGTAAGGCAAGGCAAGGCACAAGCCAAGGGAAGGCAAGGCAAATCAATGCACAAGTCAATGCAAGGCAAGGAGCAAGGTAATGCAAGGCACAAGGCAAGGCACAAGGCAAGGCACAAGACGAGGCAAGGCACAAGCAAGGCAACACAAGGCACAAGGCAAGGCGAAAGGCAAGGCAATGCAAATTGCAAGGCAAGGTAAGTCAAGCCAAGGCACAAGGCAAGGCAAGGCAAGACAAGGCAAGGTGCAAGGCAAGGCAAATCAAGGCCAGGCAAGGCCAAAGAAAGGCAAGGCACAAGGCAAGGCGAGCAAAAGCCAAGCGAAGGGAAGGCAAGGCACAAGGGAAGTCAAGGCACCCGGCAATGCAAGGCAAGGCAAGAAACAAAGCAAGGCAAGTGAAGGCAAAAGGTAAGGCAAGGCACAAGGGAATGGCAAGGCAAAGTAAAATGCAAGGCAAGGCACAAGGCAATGCAAGTCAGTAAGCAAGGCACAGCCAGGCAAGTCCCAATCAAGGCAAGCCAAAGCAAGCACAAGCACAAGAACAAGGCAAGGGACAAGGCAAGGCAAGGCACAAAGCAAGACAAGGCAAGACAAGGCATGGCAAAGCAAGGCACAAGGCAAGGCAATTTACAAGGCAAGGCAAGCCAAGGCAAGGCAAGGCATAAAGCAAGGCAAGGGAAGGCACAAGGCAAGGCACAAGGCAGGGCATTGCAAGGCACGAGACAAGGGAAGACAAGGCAAGGCACAAGGAAAGGCAAACCAAGACACAAGCAAGGCACAAAGCAAGGCAAGGCACAAGACAAGACACAAGCCAAAGGAAGGCAAGTAACAAGGCAAAGCAAATCAATACACAAGTCAAGGCAAGGCAAGGCAAGGCACAAGGCAAGGGAAAGCAATGCAAGGCACAAGGCAAGGCACAATGCAAGGCAAAGCAAGGCACAAAGCAAGGCAAAGCAATACAAGGCAAGGCACAAGGCACAAGGCAAGGCAAGGCAAGGCAAGGCAAGGCACAAGGCAAGGCAAGACACAAGTCGAGGCAAGGCAAGGAATAAGGCAACGAAAAATCAAGACACAAGGCAAGGCAATGCAAGGCAAGGCAAGACAAGGCAAGACAAGGCAAGGCACAAGGCAAGGCAAGGCAAAGCAAGACACAAGGCAAGCAAAAGGCAAGCAAAGGGAAAGTAAGGCACAAGGCAAGTCAAGTCACCAGGCAAAGCAAGGCAAGGCAAGGCAACGCAAGGCAAGGCAAGGCAAGGCACAAGGCAAGGCAAGGCAAAGCAAGACACAAGGCAAGCAAAAGGCAAGCAAAGGGAAAGTAAGGCACAAGTCAAGTCAAGTCACCAGGCAAAGCAAGGCAAGGCAAGGCACAAGCAAGGCAAGTGAAGGC